TTTCTAAATAGTTGCTTCCAACGGTGATTCTCAGCCATAATTGAGTAACAAAATCATCTGCAAGTCTAAAAAAAATATAGATTCCAACAACAGACTACAGTATCAAGTCCCACGGATGGGATGAGGACGTCTGTGTGAATACCAAAGAACAATAAAAACAGAGACAAAGCCACAACTATGATGCCTCATCAGGGATGGTGGAAAATGCAACAACTGTCTACTCAGGAAGTTGGCCAAGGAGACAGAGAGTACAACTTCAATGTTTTCTGTTTTACATGGGAATTAAAAGATAAAACAGAAGGACTCTAAAGATTAACTGAGAAAAAAAATTAAGATCAGGTCCTGGCTGGTGTGGTTTGGTTAGTTGGAGTGTTGTCCCACACACCAAAAGGTTGCAGGTTTGATCCACCGTTGGGGTGCAAATGGGAGGCAACTGATTGCTGTTTCTCTCTTATATTGATATTTCTCTCCCTCTCTCTATCCCTCCCTTCCCTTCTCTAAAATCCATAAGCATGTCCTCGGGTGAGGATAAAAAAAAATAAAAATTAGGATCAGATCTGGTTATGTCAACCATGGTTTGTTGATACATTTCATTAACAATGATTACAAATGAAATTTTGACCCTCTTCGCTATAACTGTTACCACAGAAAGGTGTGTTTGTTTTTATGAAGGGAGGTGATTCTCAAAACTAATTAAATCAAGCAAGGCACAGTTTTCTTGAAGAAATGTTTATTTAAAGTTACATTTCAGAGTAAACTATCTTCAGGAAGGCATGCAGCCTATACTGGCTTCTGCAATACATCCAGGAATTTTATAAAATCTTTCTGATATAATATAAATTACTAAAGCTCTACAGCTAGACACCTGTATTGCATACAATGCTCAAATATTTTCAAAAGACTATGGATTCATTGATATTTAAAAAGTTAAAGCCTTCTGAGAAATAACTGAATGGTGAGATATTTGTCTCAATTGTCTGTTGCTAGCATATTCATTAATATACAGTTTAAGATTCTAAATGACATGATCCAGCCATAGTTCTGGGGCCTCGTGATGAGAGTTGTATTAGGTTATAAATCACCCTTTCCACAGGAAAAGACAGATTTCAAGATGGCAACTGCTGTGTCATCATTTTTCACGCTGTGGACTGTTATAAAAAATCCTTGAGAAAACACCCTAGACATGCTGCCAGTTTTCCCACTGCAGTTTGCTCTCTTTCCATTAGATGGCAGTAACACACCATTGCTCTCTCTATAGGGTTGGAGATTAAGAAGGCTAAATTAAGGTCCAAGTTTCCCTAAATCCAAGCTAATGGGATTATAAAAATTTGAGAGGAGAATGAAGAGTGATTCTAAAGAGATCATAGGGCTAGTTATGGAAAATAAGCGAGACAACGAATGAATAAAAGACATCTATGAGAAAGGTATTAAAGAAATTCTGCTAAATATTGAAAGGATGCAGAGGAGAAAGGAAATGAAATCTAGGTATCTTGGTCCGCATTTCAGGCTGAAGGAAAAATTAGGAATTAACCTTTGACTTAAAAAAGGACATTATAATAGAATAGAAAGGCTATCATCATTTAAAAAAAAAAAAAGATTTACAAGGTCTGTCCTCAAAAAGTCCAGCCATTGTTAATATGAGAATGGTTTGCGTGACATGGATATAGATGTGACCTGGCAGCCCAGGAGGGTGGACTGGAATGCACAGGTGTGAACAATGAGGACTTCACTGTGCTAGTCAGTGCGGGCGGTAGAAATTGTTGAGTGAGCATGTGTACTGTGCTGCCATTGCATTCAAAATGACTGAGTAGAGCAATGAATCTGCATCAAATTTTGTGTTAAGCCTGAACGTTCCTCAGTGGAAGCTATTGGGATGATTCAGAAGCCACAGCTCTGGGCAACTGGTGACTGGCAGCGTCATCACAACAATGCACCTGCTCACTGCATCATGCCTCTCCTGCAGAGATTTTTGGTGAAACTTCAAATCACCCATGTGAATTAGCCCTCCTACAGTGCCCTGCAACTTCTGGCTTCTCCCAAAACTAAAATCACTTTTGAAAGGGAAGAGATTTCAGACCATCAATGAGATTCAGGAAAATATGACAGGGCCACTAATGGCGATTGGGAGAACTGTATTAGGTCCTGAGGTATCTACTCTGAAGGGGACTGAGGCGCCATTGTCCTATGTACATTGTCTCTTGTATCTTCTTCAATAAATGTCTCTATTTTTCTTACTACATGGCTGGATACCTTCTGGACAGACCTTGTATTATTTATTTTTTTAGAGAGGAAAAGGGAGGGGAAAAGAGAGGGAGAGAAACATCGATGTGTGAGAGAAATACTGGTTGGTTGCCTCTTGCACGTGCCCCAACGGGGAGACTGGGCCTGCAACTCAGGTATGTGCCCCAAATGGGCAACCCTTCACTTTGTGGGACGACACCCAACCAATTGAGCCACACTAGTCAGGGCAAGGCTATCCTCATTTAAAAAGCAACTGATTAGGACTATTTTCCCACCTGTCCCAAACATTTCTGGCTGCCTCCAGAGATTATCTGTTCGCGTCCCCATTCTGTAGCAGGTGCCAACAATGAATAACAATTCAGCAAAATATGGAGACTTTAAACAGCAAAAAATAAAGGCTCTTTTTTATAGATGCTTCTTAAGAAAGTACTTTGGATAACTTCAGAGGACACATCTGTCCCTCATAGAGAGTAGCCATATCAATATTTACCTTTTTGCACACATATTAATATTTCTCCATTATTTTATTCCTATTTATTTAAATACACACAACTCCAAAGGCTGAAATCCAACCTGGTGGAAATAGCTGTGGTAGCAAAGTAAATAGAAAAGTCCTTTTACCCTCTGTTCTTACAGGCTTGACACAAAGCAACTAAGTAAACTCATCTAATATTAACCTGGAGTAGAGAATTATTAAAAGAAAAAAAGAAATGTGATAGCCCTGGCCAAGTGCCTCAGTTGGTTGGAGTGTCATTCCCCATACACGGAAAGACTGCAGGTTTGCTCCTGGATCAGGGCACGTGCCTGGGTTGCAGATTCCATCTCAGGTAGGGGGTGACTAGGAGGCAACTGATGGGTGTTTCTCTCATATAGAAGTTTCTATCTCTCCCTTCCTCTCTAAAATCAGTAAACATATCCTCAGGTGATGGCTTTTTTTTTTTTTTAAAAAAAAAAGAAGTGTGAGAACGGAGAAAGAATGCGGATGCAGGAAGCTCTATGGATGCAATATTCAAGGCAAGCGAGCACAAATTTGTTTGAAGATATTATGCTCTCCAGAATTAAAAAGCATTCTGGAAGACAGAATTAACTCAAGAGAATGAAGACACAGGAAAACGTGTATCAAGACAAAAAGACACAAAGCCCAAGCATTCAGAGCTCAGAGAGGAAACATGTCAGAGGACTTCAGATCAGCTGGCCCAGGAAGCTTAACAAGGAAGCCATTAAGGACACCCTGCTGGGCCTAATTGTTTTTAGAACGAATGGTACTTTGTGCCATCACCCAGCTGTGAATTCCCTGGCTTTTGTCAGCTTGTGTCACAACCTGAAGAAGAAAATAGTAGCTTAACCCCCCTGCTACTCATTTACTGTATTTATTATAACTGCCTGTACAACTGTGAAGAAACTGGTCTATAAATAAACTCCACATCTCCACTTCTGATCATATAAAGAAAGTAGTATGACTGTCACAGAAAAATCATATAGAAAAAACACAACACTGAACATTTGCTAGAAGCTCAATAAATACTTAACGTATCAGGTCTGCTTTCAAAATGTTATTATACATTTATCGCAGTTGCTGGGTATGGGCCAAGAATCATTTCATGCACAAAGAAAAATTTTTGCAAAGCTTTTAGTATTTATTAAAATAAGGATAACTGGTATATTTGCTTTGTAGAATAAGTTTAAGTAAAAAATAAGGTTTCATTTCTAGAACATTGAACTAAAAATAATTTTAACACAATGAATTATTTGTATATGCAAGGCAATAAATATTTGTTGAATGGAATTGGAACTACAGATGCTACAAATTAAAAAAATCTTGTACTAAAGATAGAGTACATGAATGAATACACATTTAAAAAATTCTGTCAGTACTTGAAAAACAGAACGCTCTTTATTAATACAGTCATTGGGATCCAGTAAGAAAAGGTTCCTCTCAGAAATTTTAAATCGAAAATCACAAAACCCTTGGACTGCAATCTTAACTGAATAAGGAAGCAAATATTTACTAATCTCTAAATCATAATTGTAAAATGATGATTAATAACTAGAAAGATATGTTTTCCCCAAAATTAACCAAATCAGTATTTTTTGTATTTCAAAGAAGTTACAAAAATTGACTTCATTGGTGACAGTCAATATATTTGCATCTGGACTGTTTTGAGAGCCCAGTAACAAACGCCAGAACACAGACGCACCTGCTCAGTTGTAATTGTAGAACCGCTCACTAGCCGTCTTCTCACAGCACACCAGTCCTACTTTTTTTTTCACAGTAACTAAATTGGCAATATAAGTTCACGATATTTAAGGATAATAACAGTATGAATATTAACTTAATATCTTAAGCAGAATTAGGAAAAAACCTTAGTCTTTTAAAATATTTTTACACAATGTGAACTGGTCTGCTTTGTACAGCACAAGAGACTTTGCAGGCTTTAGAGACCCAGTTCATACCATTAGATCCCACAGTTATAAATATATTTTTAACTTACTCTAAAAATACAAAGCAAATCTAATTTTAGGGGCAAAAAAAGTTTCCTAACCAACACAATGCACAAAGTCAAAATCAAAGGTATCAGAAGTTCTGTGTAATTATCTGATAAGAATTGTTGAGCTTTGAAATTTTTTAAAAATTGGGAATTTTTGTTTTGTTGTACAATTCAGAATTATAATAATAATGCCAATGTTTAATTATATTGGTGATTCTTTTTTTAAATCATTTTTTATATTTCAATTACATTTGACATACAATAGATTAGTTTTGTGCATACAACCCAGTGATTAGATATTACGTATCTTACGAAGTGATCATCCCAATATGTCTCGTACCCATCAGACACCATATATAATAATTAGAATATTATTGACTATAATCTCTATGCTGTACTTTACATCCCCATGACTATTTTGTAACTACCAATTTGTACTTTTTAATCCCTTCACTTTTTTCACGCACTCTCCTCTCCTGCCCATCTGGCAACTGTCAAAATGTTTTCTGTATCTTTGAGTCTGTTTCTATTCATCTTATTCATTTTGATTTTTAGATTCAATTGATAGATATGTATTTATTGTCATTTCATTGTTTATATTTTTTATCTTTTTCCCCCCCTTCTTCTTAAAGAAGACCCTTTAACATTTCATGTAATACTGGTTTGGTGGTGATGAACTCCTTTAGCTTTTTCTTGTCTGGAAAGTTCTTTATATGTCCTTCAATTCTAAATGACAGCTTTGCTGGGTAGAGCAATTTTGGCTGTAGATCCTTGCTTTTCACTACTTTGAATATTCCTTGCCAAACCCTTCTGGCCTGCAAAGTTTTTTTTTTTTAGAGAAATCAGCTGACAGTCTTATGGGAACTCCCTTGTAGTTAACTGCTTTTCTCTTGCTGCTTTTAAGATTCTTGCTTTGTCTTTAACCTTTTACATTTTAATTATGATGTGTCTTGGTGTGGGCCTCTTTGGGTTCATCTTGTTTGGGACTCTCTTCATTTCCTGGACTTGTATGTCTATTTCCTTCACCAGGTTAGGGACGTTTTATGTCATTATTGTTTCAAATAGGTTTTCAATTTCTTACTCTCCTTTCAGCACCCCCATGATGTGAACACTGGCATGCCTGAAGTTGTCCCACAGGATCCTTACACTGCCCTTATTTTTTTTTAGTTTTTTTCTTCCTTATATTCCAAATCGCTGATTTGGTTCTCTGCTTTATCTACTCTGAGTCCCTGTATGTTATTCTTCATTTCATTTAGTGCATCCTCCATTCTGACTGGTTATTTTTTCATGGTTTCCATGTTTTTTTTAATGCCGTTTAAGTTCTAAGTTCATTGAACATCCTTATAACCAGTATTTTGAACTCCCATTTGGTACATTGCTTATTTCCATTTTACTTAGTTCTTGTTTTTTTGTTTTGTTCTTTCACTTGGGACATGTTACTCCATTTCCTCGTTTTGGCAGCTTCCCATATTTGCTTCTATACATTAGGTAGAGCTGCTATGTCTCCCAGGCTTGGTAGAGTGGCCTAGTGCAGTAGGTGTCATGTAGGGTCCAGTGGCACAGCCTCCCTGTTCACCTGAGCTGGGCACTCCAGGTATGCCTTAGCCCCATGTGTGCACTGTGTACACCCTCCTGTTGTAGTTGAGCCTTGATTGCCGTTGGCATGTCAATAGGAGAGACTTACCGCCAGGCTGATTAGCTGCAAGGACTAGCTGCGACCACCATGAAGGATCAGCTATGCAGGGCCCCACCCCATGGAGCAGGACTTACCTCAATAGGGCTCTGGCACCTACTGAGTCTGCCCCTTGAGTGTGTTGCTTGTGAAGATGGTTTGGTGGTGCTTTGATGTGGTGTGAAGCTGTCTACTGGATGCAATGGCTGTGGGGCCTCGTGGCATGAGCTACAAAGTGATCTAGAGACAGCTGCAGCTTGTGCTGGGCTTGGAGGGCCCAGGAGATGCCAAGCTGTGAATAAAGGCTGCCTGCTACTAGTGCCAGGCCTGGAGCAAATCAGCAAGAGGTATGGGCACAAGGCTAGCCGTTGATTGAGAAATTTTAAGAAAGTCTGAAGCATGAGCCAAGACAGCCCATTCATACGGAAAAGTCACAGGAAACAGCTTGGGTGGGCCCACCTGCTGGGTGGGGCAAGGTCTCAGGGAATCACCAGGGCAGCGCACACAGTGATAGGTTGATGCAGACTCAGATATGGGGGGAGGTCTCAGCAAAGGAACAACGGCCTCTGCCAGCACTTCTGTCTGGGAGAAAGCTACCCCTCCAGACCTCTCTCTCATGCCAGATAATTCTGTTCCTCCCCATATGTCCCTGGTACCCTTTGAGCTGTTGCCTCAGCACCGGAGCTTAGAGAGAATGAGTCCAAATAAGTCTATGTAGAGGCCCTTTAATTGGAACTGCTTGGGACCCTAGAAGCCCTCTGCCTCTCTGAGCTAATCCCCGCTGGTTTTTACAGCCAGAAATTATGGGGACCTCTCCTCCTGGCACTGGAACCCTGGGCTGCGGGGCAGGTGTGCGGTTGGGACCCGCTGCTCTTCAAGGGGACCCCCATAGCTGAGACATCCCTTCCAATTTTTATCCACCACATGTGGCTGTGGGACCAGCCTGTTCACATCTCTGCTCCTCCTACCAGTCTCGATGTGGCTTCTTCTTTATATCCTTACTTGTAGGACTTCTGTTCATCTAGGCAGTTCTGAACAATAGCTGTTTTGTAGTTTAATTGTAATTCTGATGTGGTCATGGGAGGATGCGAGTACCACATTTACCTATGCCGCCATCTTAACTGGAAGCCTATATTGGTGATTCTTAAATCATCCTTCCTATTTATGCTTACATTACTGACTTGCTGAAATGATGAAAAAGCTCAGAGATAGAGAAAGCACAAATTTTCTTAGAAGGCTGACCAACAAAATAATCCTTATGGTCAGACCTTAAAGTTGTGGATTTTCATGGATTGTGAAGCTAAACTAGGCCACTCAAGAAAGACAGCTTTCTCTAAGGTCCACTATTCACTTATTCTCTCCTGTTCAGCCTTTTGTATAAGAAGGGGTCCAATATTATAGGTTCTTCTTGTCCACCTGACCATTTTTTGCTGTCTTATGTAAAAGCCAAGTATGTTTGTGTTGGTTTGTCTAAAGACCAGGTATTCCCGGTAACAATTAGCACATTTCTGGAGAACTTTAATATTCCTGGACTCCTGACTTAGCCTGCTGAGGGCCACACCCCAAATAGAACACCCTCATCCAGGGAGTGGAGGCAATTGGTAAATTATGATTTCTTATTGTAGAATTAACTTAGCAGGGAGAAAAGGGACAGGTCAATAACCAAGAATCATGGAATGGATTCAAGCCCAAAGATTTTTTGACTTATTAATGAAGACCCCCACTTCCTACCAATTATTACGGCGCAGTCCAGCCTTGTCCCCTGAGATGCTGGTTGAATGCTGATGCCTTCATAGGCGTGAGAGGCCCAGCCAGGGCTTTTGGTGGCTGAACCTTAGTGTAGCTTGTTGTGCACGGGATAGAGTAAGGTCATGTGTTCTGCCCCCTTGAAAGGCAACTTCTCATTGGAGTAATAGTGTACCACTTCAGGGATGCTGTCAAAGACTGCGCTCGTCTGGTTCAGTGTGTACTTGTTGTCTTTGGTCTGAGCCACTATGATGTGGACACATCCTTGACTCGTCCTGGAACAAAACAAAAATCAAGGAGGGAGACATGAATGAGTGAACAGAAAGATCCCTCTCTACTAAAAACCCTAGCTAGATTCACAGGCAGACAGGTTCTTACCCATTCCTGGAATTCTTATAAAAAAAAATGCAGCCCTCGATAAATGGATGTCATCTTTGAGTTGTTTATCCTCAGTACACACAAGTCATCAGATACCAGACAAAAAAACCAAACACCAAAAAGAAGTCCAGTCCCTCCTGGCCCCCAAATTGCCAACCTAGTGCTTAAGCCCAAGTATGAGATCACTAAGATAAGGTTTAAATTCATGCTCTTCATCACAGCTAAAAGGACATGTTTTCCTCCTTCTTTCCTCCCCAAAGACTACATTAAGAATAATAATTTAAAAAACTGTTTCCTCCTCCCCCTCCCTTCCCCTCCACCTCAATCTGGAAAGACTGTTCCTGGTTCTATAAAATGACAGCTGGCACTGAAGGCTCAAAGATCTAATCCGTGAGCACCAGTTTCAGAAACACAGCAAAGCTATTCCTGGTATTGTATATCTGGTGGCCTATCCCGTTTTCGGAGCCATACTGCTCAAACACCCTCCCGCCCCAACCTCTTTTCCCCTCTAGTCTGATTGTTTCAGCTGCAGGGGCTCAGCTTCCTCAGGAAGGAAATGCTGTTAGGGAGCTTGACAATGATCCTTCAATATAGCACCACTGAACTCGTGCAGCAATGAGAATTTCCATGATTCAAGCTCCACCAGGCCTACCAGGCAAAAATGAATGTTCTGTGTACAGTCAGACAAGAGGATAATAGCAAGTCAGCATTTCCTTCTTCACCAGAAGAAGCTGGTATCAGAATTGACTTGGCATTTGAACAATCAAGGGATCTAATTTATTAAAATCCCAAAACACTAGGGAGTAAAAGAAGAACGACTAAAGTATCCTGTACAATACTATTCTTTTTATCAAGAGTTATTTCTCTGGTGAGAGGACCTACTTTAGATCTGGTAATATAAGGTAGAAATTGACTAATGTACAAAACCAATTTTGTATTCTAATCAGAGCATTTCCTATTCCATTGTCCAAGCAAATGCACCTTGTTTTCTGGCAATATATGCCCCTGCGGACCATCTTGAAATGGTCACGTAACCATGATAGGAAAGACTAACATGGTGCAACCCCCCTCCCATGCCCTGCCCCTGTACCCAAATGGGAGGCGTGAAGCTGCCACACTCACTTTAGTGCAATGGAGTACCTACTGGTCCCCGATTCGCTGTTTCGAACCAGGTAACCAGCTTCTTTGCAGGGCTGTAGTCGACTCTCAGCCTCAGCACGAGTGATGGCACCATGATACCAACTGAAAAATGGAGTTGGGGAAGACACCACAAGCATCAAAGCAGAAATACAGACAGGACCTTATTCCATAAAGCGTTACTTGAAATGCACTTCTGGTAGATGCTCCACAGCCTGAACTAGATCCTGCTTCACATTCAGAAAAGACAAAATGCAGCTTTGGGGAATCCTGGATCACGAAACCTCTCAATCATACAAGAGCGAGCTACCCGGGCTAGTGTCATTTAAAAAGTTTTCACTCTATACAGGGGCATGAAATTTAAACTCAGGCTCTTGGGATGCAGTACACTTTCCATTCTGCAGAGGTGCACTGGGCTTTGAAAGTGGGTTTTCATTAATAAACCCACCCAGACAAGTGTTCATGAGCAATTAATAATCATGTAAAATGGGCCAGTGCTCCCCCTACTCCCAGACTACGGATGACCTGCCAGCTACTGCTGTGCGGGAAACTCACGGCTGCTTCTCCAGCGGCAGGGCTGGATCCACTCTTTCCCCCTCACTGTGGTCAGGGAGCGCTGGCTTCAAGATCTTCGGGGTCCAGCTCTTCTGTCGGTGGTGCTGCCTCGCCGTCTCCTCCTTTGTGGAAGGTCGCTCAGAGCCTTCAAACTGAACTGGAAGGAAGGCTCCATTTAACATCAGAGGCCCCTGAGGTGAACCACATCAACTTCAAAGAAAAAAAAACCCTGTCTGCCTCAGCTTAGGAAAGGAGCTGTTTCCCCTCCAACTAGAGGTAACATTCTACAAATACCCTGGGATAGCTGTGCTCCCGCTGTCTTTGATATCTGATCACACTGCAAGCATCCAGACAGCTACTTTTTCTGTGACATAATCATCATTGTAAAGCAGTTTTATAGTATGAGAGGAAACCACTTCAGTATATTTCAGCATGTACTTTAAAAAGAAACTCTAAGTTGTAGTATATTTAGAGTAAAAGACTAAACATAGTTACAGGTGATGATTCCTTGCAAGAGTATGTTTCATTCTATGAAATCAAGAGAATAGTTTTTACTATGAAATAATAAAACAAAAAGAAAACCAACTGTGAAACAGAAAGTAACTACTGAATATTGCCTGACAGATGCCATGACACAGACTGGATAGAACAGAGAGAGCGCGAGCAGCAGCAGGTGCCCGACAGAGATCTGTGAAAAGCAAGACTAGGGGAAAACTCACACTGACCGAAGGCTTGCTATCAGAAGTATTACTTTCTCTGTTCACCCTCCCCATTAGCTAGACATTTAATCACAAACTGGGTTTTACTATTGGAGGGAAAAGACATCCCTAACTTTAAAAATCAAAGGCAAAAGAAATTATGTGGTCAGTCAAGTAGAAAAACTACGTCCTGGGGGAAGCAGGAGAGTGAATTACCTTTAATAACTCCTGACAACCTATTACCTTCCTCGTAAGTTATTTTAAAAATTCATACTTAAGAATTGATTCCTATAGGATTTTTGACCAAAAGGCAATTAAAAAAAAAAGCTTCATTCAGCTTTCTGACCATCTCTACCTGTAATCCATTTGATGTCATTTTATAAATAGAGATTTTAACGGGTTTGAGGAGGAGCACCAAGAAAGAGTTACAAAAGATGTAAGCAATTAGTGGTGATCAAGTAAGGTTTTCCAATAGTCACTGAAGGCATTTCCAAAAACAGTTGTGCACTGTAAAGAGAAAGGAAAATAAAGATGCCCAGAAAGATGAAAGAGAAATGCAATATTCAGGGCTCCTCTTCAGTTCTGGTCTTCCAACCAGGCCAATTCTCGTTTGCCCCTACCAAACTCCTAGGAAGAAGAGACCTGCGGTTGAGGAAGTGAAAACCGTGGCGCTGGCTGATAGGTCCAGAGGGCGCAGGCCTCGCAGCAGGGCAGCAGAGGGCGCAGGGGCCCTCCCTCACCTGACGCTGTCTCCTCACCGGACAGCGCCCCTCACCTGACAGCGCCCGCACGATCTGCTCCTTCTTCCACTCCCACGGCTGCTCGTACTCGGCCGCGGGCCGCTCGTCGTCCTCGGGCAGCCGGCCGTGCGCGTCCGGGGGCCGCGCCTTCCGCTCGGCGCCTCCGTCGGCCGGCTCGTAGGGCGTGTCGTACAGCTGCGGCGGCTTCCCCAGCAGGTCCTTGGAGCTCCGTCTCTTGGCCAGCGCCTCGGGTTTCACGCCCGTCTCTCCAGGCTCACAGGGGCTGTCGAGCAGCTGAAGGGCCTTCACCAGGGGGTCTTTGGAACCACGGCGTCTAATTTCTGCAAAACACGCAGCACACACAACACCTTGAAAGAAATGTGTCACGGAAGGCTGGTAATTAACTGAATTCCCTCTTCCCTTCGGGCTGTCTGTGTGGCAGAAGGTGGCAGAGACCGCCAACATTGTTCCTTAAGGGCCAGTTACTTCCCAGCTGAAGGAAGGAGCCAGATAATGGGTTCAAGTCATAGGATTAGGGATCTCGTCTGAAGACAGGGGTGCGCGTCTGGGGGCAGCCTGCGGTCTGTGAGAGCAGAAGTGTTCCGCGGGTACTGGTTCTGAGTATGGTTCACCTGCAGAGTTTTTACATGTGTCAGGAAGCTGAGATGAAAGTATTTTAATAAAAATCGACGGAGTGTTTACTATCTTCAAAGTTTTGGACAGTAGAGTTCTTGCGCTCTAGGTGGTTTCAGTACAGTGGGGGAAGCCAGACACATTCACAAATAACACCTGGCAGGCCAATAATTGCAGCATAAGTAAAAGAGTGTCATGGGGGAAAAACAGTAATGGTAACAGCAGCTAACACTGATCGATGGTATACTATGCATTAAGCACTATTCTAAGCACACTGTATTTTTCATAGCCCCTCTATGAGATGGGTACAATTAGTTCCCCAATATTAGAAAAACCTGAGGCACAGAGAGTTTAAGGAAATTGCCCAAACCTTTAGGTGGCAAAGCCTAGATTCCAAAGCAGGAAGTTGGTCTCCAGAAGCCATATTCTTCACCACTACAATTGGATTGACTCCAAGTGGAAGAGAAATGGAAGATGAGTTGACTTTGATAGAGAAGGTCATTTCCAGTGGAGGAAGCTGCATGAGTGAAGATATGGAGGTGGGAACCATAAAGGGCTTGTTCCCAGAAAGGGGAGTTGAGAGATAAGTTCAAAGGACAGAGGCCAGGAGAGGGGAGAAGTGGTGGGAAAAGAAGCCGGAAGGCTAGGCAAGCCAGGGCACCAAAGTGTAGAAGTTGTAAAGGCAAGGATGCACTGGAAAATCATTATTGTTTTTTTTTTTTTTAACAGGTAATAACAGTTACATTTTTGTTTTGTTAGAAGATAACTCCAACACAGTATACAGGATGGAATAAGCCAGAATGATATGGTCTGGACTGAGGCACAGAAATAGATGCAAAAAACCTGATGCAAATCAACCAACCAGCCAACCACAGTGGGAAGAAATCAGAAGTGTCTCGGGACTGACCAGCTTGGGGCTCAGAAGCCGGGGCAGGTAGAGTTAAAGATGCCTCGAGTGTGGATAACCAGAGCTGATGATAAGACCAACCGACGCATTATGGGGTTCTTCTAAATGCCCGTCAGGAAGCCTTCAATCTGCACAGCCAAGGATGACTTTTCTAAACACAAACATCTCATCTCATCACTTAACACCCCGTAAACTCTCAGCCGTCTACCTAAAAGGTACAGACTGCTCGACACGGCATGGGAGGCCTTCTGTGACTGGATCACTGTCTCCCTCTCCAATTTCTTCTCTCAACACTACCCTTCTTATCCCTCTGCGATCCAATTCTTTGTTCCAACCAAATGGAACTTGCAAAGTGCCCTGAGCACTACACTGCTGTATGCCCACTAGCGTCTGGGTGATCTTCCACCCTTGAAATCTAGCCTAGCATCTCTTCCTCCAATTCCCCACCTCTCCCGGGTACCGACACTTCGCCAGCCCGTTCTCAGCTCGCACTTATCCCATCATACGGGTTTATTTGTTGCTCTGTCTGTAGTTCCAAATTGGTGGAGATTGCCAGGGCCGGGCCCACCACTGTCTTGTTTATATTGTAGGACACACAGTTGTGCTAAATAATAATTGGATGGATGGGAAGAGAAAGAGAGGTAGGAGCTTTAGAACTTCTCTGAGCGGGTGACAACATAGACCAAGAGCTCAGCAGAGAGATGAAGGTCAAAGTTATATGTCAAGGAGTTACTCACAAATGAATTGTTGTTAGTACTGTGAGAGTGAAAGGGGGCAGATTGATACGAGGATCAAAGGTAGGATCTGGGACTTCTCCAGTTAAGGGTGAATGGAAGAAGACATGCCAGCAAAGGCACCTGAGAAGAAGTGGTCAGGTAAGGAGGCAAGGCCATTGAAACCAAGGAAAGTGAGAATTTCTACAGGTAAAATGGGCATGGAGACACTCCATGAAGAAGAATCATTGACTCAATAAGACTTTTATAATGAGGACAACAAATGAAACATTCAAAAGAAAAGTTACTAAAATCATGACACTAAATTAGAAAGGACAAAATTTATTGACAGGGCTAGGTTATAATTCTGCTGGATAGGAGTCCCTGATGGCACTTCATTGGAATCACCTGGCGAGCTTTAGCAACCATGGATGCCTGCGTCCTCCCACCAGAGGCCCTGATTTAATTGGTCTGGGGTACCACGTGGGACTGAGAGGTGCAAAAGCTCCCACAGGGGATTCTAATGAGAAGCTAAGTCTGAGGACTCCCACGCCTCCTGGGTGCCCTGGCTCCCTCTCAGTTCTTCCTGCCCTCCAGAGCTCATCTTGTCACTGGAGCCCTGCCCCAAAAGGGTTCTCCTGTGTCTAACCCTGGGAGCTGGGAGCAGAATGGGAGTGCTGGAGGAACCGTCCCTGCCCCCAGGCCAGGAAAGGTGCCTGGGGTTGTCTGAGGTCTCCTGCATCTCCGGCCCAAGCCTCTTGACTTTCAATCCAACAGCTTTTTTCCTTCATTGCTTATTCTAGATGGAGTTATGGAAAAATAAGAAACAAAAACATACTCTGCTCTTGGTTCAATTAAGATAAGGCTGGAGTTCTTTAAAAGGAAAGAGAAAACACAAAGGAATTCATAGGATGGATTTGGAATTTTTGAAGTTTCTGATCGAAACCTCAGTTTGCCCTCAGTTTAGTCTGGCATGGCCTGGGGAACCTTCCCCAAGGTCTTCGCCTCACTTCTTTCCCAGGTGAACTAAATGCAAAAGAACTGATTGCAACCTTAAGATAGGAGTCCTACTCACAAGAAAATTTCAATAAATTTGTGTTAAAATGGTGTACAGTGATTAGAATCCTGCATTTTTATTACAGGTGTTTTGAGTTTTTACTTTTGAGCTGAGATCCTTGCGCTTCTGTTTTAGGCAGTCTGCGCTCACAGGGCTCTGGGAAAGACACTGGGGAGTGTACAGCTGAGGGTGTCCCTTCCTGGGATGGTCCTAGAGTGGGGCAAAATCTGCAGTTTTATCATCTTTTTCAACAATGTTTAATTAGGGGAAAAAAGGGCTTGGGTGCAGGGCCCCTCCGCCCCTTCAAGGGAAGTAACCTTCCAGTTCATTCCAACACCTGGCTGCCCCCAATCGGAGGCGCCATAGAAACAGAAACAATCGTGGGGCTGCAAGCCGACCCTTCCTGCAGGGAGAATAGCCCCTGACGTGCAGAGCTGGCTCTGAGAGGAAACGAGCCTGAGAAGGAGGAAATGGCCAGAGGAAGCTACGCCCTGGCTCTGCCGATAGAGGCCATTTACATGGCAGACAACAGAATGCGGCCACAGGCTGCAGATAAACACCCATCTGCAGCTGAAACCCGGGCCTGACCTGCACCAGCTAACATGACAGTGTGAAACAGCATGGGCTGAAATCTTCCTTCCCGACTGCAGCTCTGGCTGTGCATAATCATGCCACTTAGATTTAAAAACATAGCAGAAGACTAAGACTTCCTTTAACTAAATTAATTGTAGTTATCAATTGTTATTCCTCTAATTGTCCAGAATTGTCTTTGAAAATGGAGTTCTCTCTCTGAAGTGTCTACATAATGGCTATATTCACTGGTTGTGCAGGTACTAGCATGTTATACCTAGTACCTCAGTGAAGCCTCAGGATAGGGTGAGGGACGCATTATCCCATTTTCCCAGGTGGATAAACTGAGGCTGTGCAGCACTCAATGGGGGCGCCATTTAGCACTGACTCCAGAGCTTTCGTTATCATTCCTCACTTTATGCCCCAATGATCACATGTAAAACTTTAATTATGATTTTCATAATGTACTTTTTCCCCTAATATATTGCATAATGTTTTCAAAACTAAAACTAGAATCAGAAAAAGGCCTGTTAGGTAACTGGTAACCCTACCCACATCTTTTATCAGTGCTTGAGCTTTTGATTTAAAATTACTTTAACATTTTCTGAACAAAAACATATATAATTCAGAAGCCCTGAAATTTAAGTTTAACAAGGAAAGTATAGACAAATTTAAATAAATAAAAAATAGCCTTCTATTAATATTTTTTCAAAGTGGTTAAATTTTTAAATGGAGACTTGAACAATGAAATTGTCTTTTAAATTTCACTATTTAAACAAACCAACAAAACCATTTGGAGGCAAAAATTAAAAAAATTGAAAACCACTTGCGACTGGAACTCCGTTAACTAAAACCAAAGGTCGTTGAATGACCTGGTATCTCCACTCGCATAATCTGGACAAGTTATTGAATCTTCTGAACCTTGGTTTCTTCAACTGTAACACAGAGATGTCTAGGACCCACTTTTCAGGGCTGTGGGGTTTAGTGAGGCAATTTGGCAAGCCTGGCACTTAGCATTCGTGTGATACCAGTTGTGGAAGGAATTACGCTACTGAACGATGGCTCTTAGGGAGCTTCTAAAAACCCTTTCAATGCTTAAGTTTTAATTTGGTGGCTACAACCCAAAATGCTACATTATTCAAAATATCTCTACTAATTATTTAGCTATAATAATCCCGCTAATTTATCAAAAACAAAGAAGTTTACACTATTATTGCCTTGTACTCATACTATCTTTTTATGAACAATTCTTTGAATAAATCTAAGTGAGAATTTCTTCATAAATTTATAAATTTTTAGTCTTTAAAAGGTAAGAGCAAAGTCTTGGAAGAGATTGAGGGAGCCTGGGTCCCAGTTATTTGGCCACAGGAAAGTACTAATGCCTCTTAATTTCTGTGTCTTATTCTGTTCCCTGAAGCTGACAGTGTTTCTTAATTCTCTACTTCATGACACCACACCTTTCTTTAAAACTTTTTTTTTTTTTTTTTGCTGATGACACTATTACAGATGTCCCCCCAACCACACTTTTCAATGACATATTTTCTTCTGTATTGGTGTTAGGTTTGTTAGTCCCTTGGGCTGTGAGGTCCAGAAGGACAAGGGTCACGTGGTTTTGTTCCCTGTATGCTCAGACCCCAGCATAGGGCCTGGTACATGGTAAAGAAATACTTGTCGGATGTTATACTATAAGATCATGAACAGTGTTATATACCCCCCAGGTTCTGCTAAAATCAGACATGTTGTTTCCACTTCACAGGCACTAAAAAGGCAGGACAGGTTGAGGGCCCCAGAGTTAAATCATTCATTAGCACCGTCTCCTTCTCCTACAGAAATACTGAAATGAACTAAAAAGAAATCCCTAACATTTCTCAAGAAATATGGGACATTCCTGAACCTGGACTTGACAACAAATCACAAGGAGCAAAACGAACAAAAAAAGTAAAATGTTAAAAAAAACAAACCAGCAGCAAATCTTTTATTCCCAGCTTCCGATAAACTCACTTCCTGTTATTCTGTCCAGCTGTGTAACCTATGGGTAAAATAAGAGGTATATTCTCTACACTGATTGAGAAAGTGCTTTTTAACATATATATTTACATGGAGAAACTTTAAAACTCACCAATATTTTTTAAAAGAGCAAAGAAAAAGCCTAGTCATTTAAAAAAATAATTTATATTTTTAATAAAACTTAAATTTATTCTCCAATTAATTAATTCCATATTTCTAAATGAACTTATTCATGTAAGTGATTTAAAGCAGAGCCTGGAACTCAATAAATGCTTGAATATTAAATGCTTGCTATTAGTATTATTATACTTATTTCATGTTGGACAATTTTGACTTTTCACTATAACCCTCTTTGTGAGTCTCCGTGGAAAGATGCCTTACTTACCGGTAAAGTTTAAAGAGCTTTGGCATGCATCATTTCATATGTCTTGGGGCAACCTTGTGTAGGAAGCAGAGCACCCCATCTGGAATGGGAAGATCAGAGTTCTAATTTCTGCTCTGTCTCTTAAAAAGTCTTGTGAGCATAGGCAAGTTAGAATCTCTGATCTTGTAACAAGGGGATAGTATTGGAGTCCCCTAGTTTAGAGAGTTTTGTGGGGATTACTTAGAAAAATAAGATAATATTCATTTTTAAAAAGCACAGTACTTTCCCTACTATCAGTGCGGCTCCACGAATAAACAGCTGGGCTAGTTTAGATAAACTATTTATTCCAGTCAAAAAGAAAGAGAAGAATAAAAACCAAAGGACAAAGAAAGGTGAATCGAAAGTAAGCATTTTTTAAAGAATCTTTTTCCTCAATTTATGTGAAAGTAATTCTTTCCCCCTACTTCTTTCAAGCCTCCAATATTTTTTCAAATTCTGACTAAGTTCATTTTCACTTCCTTTCATTCACAGATTTCATTAGAGGTCACAGTCCAGTGACCTTCAGGGTCACAGCCTGGCCAGGGTACACCCTCCGCAAACCCAAGCCTTATCTCTGCAAGCAGAACGCAGGAAACAGAGCAGTGCTTTCCTGTGGCAGCTCGTTTTCATTCTGAAGCCTGTCTTGACCCTTCAGGGTGCTGCTGTTACCCTTCTGCTCAACTCTCCTGAGACTAAGCTTATGGAGTCTGAGCCTGACAGCTTTTCAATCTGTTTTTAAACAGGAGATGCAGACTTTAATGTGTGACCAATTATTAACGTCTTCCAGGCATGAAATCCATGACACTTAGACAAGGCTCCCTTGAGTCAGCACTTGGAAATTTCCTTTCTCATACGGATTAAAGAATGTTTAAGGAAAATTAGGCGAATAAATAATTTACTCTAATATTCATAAATAACTAGTAAATATATCATTTTAAAGTATTATTTACACCAACGTCAGAGAATTATGAATAAAAGTGAAAATATTTTTTTAAAAGGGAAAAGTTGATACCAAAAATGACAGGGTGATTGCTTAGCTCACAAGTTGGAACTGTTCCAACTTAAAAAGGTACAAGATTGTCAACCAGTTTTAGGAGGTTTGCCTTGAATGGCCTGCCTCATGCCAGTGATTGCTAATCATTCCTTAGTAATTAAATGTTTTGCTCCAATGTTGTAGAGCTTATTGAGAAATTAGTCTTCTACTATAACACAGAGGACCACGTCTTTTTGCATCTTTTAACAACTTAAAATCCTTTAAGTATGTATTATTAGTCCTTTGGTACAGATTTATGACTCCCATGATGGATGTCAAAGCTTTGAAAGTGGCCAAGAAATGTACATAAGTATCTTAAAACTAAAGATCATATTCTTAGCAAATCTGAAAATTCACTATGTAAGAGTATCATTTTATACAGTCAGAAAATCTTTAAAGACCCTTGGAAATTCTAAAATTGAAGGGTACAAACTATACAGGAAGCTAACTAGATATTTGACTTTTGTTTTGGGTCTAATTTCTATTCCTTCCAGTCAGCAGGATCTGGTTAAATTGCTTCACCCCTCTTCCCCAAATAGACAGCGGTTACTACTTGACACACTCCAGTGAGTGTGAGATTTCTGCCCCTACGAAGCAGCTCTTGGTTACAAACCCGTTATCATCTGCTGTGCGTCATATGGTTCCATGTAGCCATCGTTCTCTCCTACTCTCTCTGCATCCCTTTGACCTTTTGTCCGTTTGGCATCATATGGGTCAGCATAGTCTTCTAAAATGATGACCTGTAAAACAACCAGAGGAGAGTTGCTAAGGATTATCATGTGCCAGAATGGCAGTGGTATCAAAATGGCTACTGCCAATCTTCTGATCTAAGAAGACACCAAAATCTCCAACCAGTTCTGGATTGCTTTTGTACTTGATCATGTTATTCACCCAGCTGCACAAATATCTGATTTTTTTTTTTGTAGCATAATTGATCGTTAGCACATCTAAACTCTGCTTATCCCTAAGGCTCTTCTCACCTCCTTTTCTTCCTTAAGCAATCAAGCAGGGGTGGGTGGAAGAGAGGGGAGGATGTCTATAACTTTAGGGCATAAAAAAATGAACTGGCCTACCATCTTCCTCATGATTTTGGTCTTTTTAACGTCAGCAAGATGAGCAACATAGTCATGGTAAATCAGTCGATCACCCAGGCACCGCTGAACACCCACTAGCACTGGTTACGGAATCAAAATAGGACCAAGACCTGCTTTTTGTCCTCAAGGAATTTGTAACAGCTCTAAAGAGACAGGCTTCATAAGAAGAAATAGGTCAGAATTAAAGAGTATTGTGGGACTTCAAGGTTCAATAGTTCATAGGCAGACTTGTTCTCATAGGCTACAATCAGGTAGAGTTTTGATCCATATTTGTGTCAGAAAGCACCTGTTCTTCCCAAAATGCAAAGGGGCCTGGAAAGGTGGTGCGTGTGCTATGGTTCTGTTCGGCAGCAGCTGTGTGAACACGTGGAAGGTAGTATAAGAAACCCTTTTTCTGGGAAGAGGCCTGCTTTACAATCTCTGATTACATTCTCCAAAGAGTTCATGGAGAAGGGCCACTGGTAAACAGGGAGACGTGAGGAAGAGGCTGACACGTGGATGAGAGCCCTCCACCTGGGAGGAGATAGGGTAAGAAACTCAGACATCCAGAAGGGATGACCATGGAAATAACCAGGCAACCACTGCTGAGGACTGTAATTACCCTCACTCCCTCACGCCATTCTTTTGACTGCCCACCACTGTGCTGTGTTCTCAAAGTACAGAGCGGAACAGGAAGCATGATATGCAGCCCCTGGCAGCAAGGTGCTTATGATCCAGTCAGGCAGACTGCTAATATCTGGACCAGCTGCACGGTTCTCCCACAGTGCCCGGCACAGAGTAGGCATGCTGTAAATATTTGTGGAAAGAGTGAATGGAGGAGTGAACAGAAGTGCCCAATGCAGACACGCAGGGTCTGTGCTCCTGGCTCCTGACTCCATCCACGCGGGCAGCATGTTTGAAGCCTGGGCAAGAGTAAATTAAAGTTCCCAAGGCAGGAAATGATCATCATGGCTGGAGTCTGAAAGCTCAGTTTGAGCTCTCCTCTCTCCCGCTTTCACACAGAAGAGTGGGTTTTCTTTGTTCCATTCTGTAGCCCCTGCAGAGCCCTGTGCCCCTTGTGCTCCATGGCTGCTGCACGGCAAACGGTCATGTGCTGCATGAAAGGGCTGTAACCTTGGGGTGCTAGTGAAGCTCAGAGAAGCCCTTTACTAGGTGGAGCTTCCGAACTGGGGGTGGGGTAGGCTCGGCTGGCCAACACATTTTCTGGAGCTTTGAAGGTTACCATTTCTTATGCTCAAGAATTAAAATTACACAGTCTAGCTTTGCACCTTGCCCCCATGATGAAATTGAAATCACCCACTATCTATAAGGGGGCCAAATTGAACAAAGTAGGACCGTTTCATTCAATTACTGTTATAAACTGCTAACAAAATGAAACAGATAGGAAGTTTCTGCAAAGTTCCCCATCCCTAGAATGAGGATTTTTCAAGACTTAATAAACAAAAAACCTAATGGTTTTGAATGGCCTCTTAGGAGTCACCAAATGTTAGGGGGAAACATCCTCCCCTCTTCTGCAGCACAAGGAACCTTACCTAGGGGTTAGCAGATTCGCTATGCTCCTTCCTACTGTTTCGATTCAGTAGGGGACAGGTAGTCCAGGGGAGGTTGTAGTCTTACCGTGTCTTGCTGCTTAACAATCTTGCCCTTGTCCAGTTCAGGGCCCAGGGAGGAAGGGGAAGAGGACGCGGAGGAAGAGCTACTGGTACTGCTGCTGCTGCTACTGCTGCTCGGGTAGCTGCTCTTCCCATTCTTCTCCTGAGTGTCTACCTTGATGAGCCTGTTGATGTAGGTGCTGCATCCCGAGCTCTTGGCCGCGCCCCGGTGGGGCTCCTCCTCAGTGGCCCGAGAGTTCTTGCGGCTTTTGCCCGCGGCGGCCTGAATCAGCCCCTGTAGGCTGTCCCGGGACAGCCGGCTGTCCTTGGAGGGGCCGATGCCGGCCCTGCTACCCCCTAGCTCGGCCGCCGAGTTCTTGCGGCCCTTGCCTGTGGCGGGCCCCGCGCCGCCCGCCTCCAAGTTCTTGCGCAGTTTGCCGCCTCCACCGCCGCCGGGCTTCGCCCGCTCCGACACCGTCTTCAGGTTCAGGGGGAACTCCTTGAACCACTTGGCCGCCATGAGGGGGGCCCGGCCGGCGTGGTTCAGGAGCGTCGTGGCCGCGGAGCAGATGAGCGAGGAGGTCCAGCCCAGACACGGAAAGGCTCCAGTGGCCGGGGGCCACTGCATTCCCCGGGGCTGGGGCGCTGGAGGCCGTGACGAGGCCCTGCGACGGCTGCTCCGTGTGTCCCCGGCCGGTGTTCGCCAACGCCCGGCAGGGCGGGGCCCCTCCGGCCCGGGGCGGGGGGCCCGGGGCGCCGAGCGGGCGGGCGCGGGCCGCTGCTCCGGACACGGACGGCGACAGGGACAGCACACCGGGGCCCCGCCCGGGCTCGTCTTCAGCGCCTGCACGGCCTGGGGGCTTCCCCTGCGTTTTCCTCCCGAAGTGGGAGAGGCCCGGCCCACGGAAGCCCCGGGACAGCCCTGCCCACACTCCCAGGGACTAGAGGGCACGGAGCGGAGACGGTGGGAGTGTCCCCGGCGCCGGGACAAACGCCGGACCGACGTCGAGCTGCCCACCCCCTCCGCGCGCCCCACCCCTCCGTGGTGGCACCTCCCAGCCCCGCCACTCCGCGCCCCCTCCCTCCCAGACCCGGGGGTGGTGGGCCCGGGGCTAATGCAGGGACGCGTCTGGGGAGTGCAAGTTCGGGAGAAGGTGGCAGCAGCTGCACGTCCTGGCCAGCCATGCCACGGAGTTTAGAGTCCCCCCACTTCTGCACTGAGCGGGTCTCGGCCGGGCGCTGCCTTCAAATGCGCCCAGGGTGTGCCACGTGCTTCTCTCACCCCAGAAGCGGGCCAATCGCTCCCCAGGGAGCCAAGTGAGCCGGATCTGCTCCCTCCACGTATTCTGTAAACGTTACTTTTGGTGTGTATGTGTGTGTGTGGGGGAGGTGAGGATGCTCAATAAAAGTGGGCGCAGAGGCAGCGCTGAGGCACCACCCCGCGCCTTGAGAATCTGTCTCTTTCCCGCAGCCCAGGCCGCCGCCGCCGCCTCAGGATTGGTTGCTGAGGAGCGGCTCGCCCCGCCCCCGCCAGTCTCGGAGGAGGCGGAGCACGCAGCGATAAGGCGCGAAGGCTCGGCGTAGGGACTGCGGGACAGACCCTCGGCCCAGGAGAGGTAATTGGTTTCAGGTCGCGGGCTGCAGGCTGAGGGGCGGTGGGGATAGGGGTGTTGGGAATCAGTTGTGGAACTCGCCCCTATTTCCACTCCAGGGTGGGAGGGCGCGCTGTTGCCGAGGGGCTGGCTGGTCGCTTGCTTGCACCGGGGGTGTCTTCAGAGTTATTTTTTTATTTTTTATTTTTTTGTGGGGATGGTGGGAATGGTGGAGATGGTGGGTGGGAGCGGACGGCAGTGACTGAAGGTGTGTAGGTGGGTAGCGCTTTGTGAAGAACTGTCGGTCACTCTATGTTAAAAGAGGCCTCAGCCATCCCCTTCCTTTTTGAAGAAATATTAAAACTTTTTTAGCTTAAACAAAAAAAAAAAAAAAAAAAAAAAAGGGAAAACCTAAATGTGCCACAGCGTCTCATGCAATATGTTCTAAATCCTCACTACAAGCCATGGAGACTGCGTGATCCTGGCCACTCATAGGTTTCATCTGCATGAGCGGTGGTGCTTTGTGAGCTGGAATGGCAAAGAAATGCTTACATCGGCCAGTCTTAAAAATGTTTCTTGACTTTTTAGAAAAAAAGGTTTATGAGATGTAATTTGCACACCATAAAATTCACCTTTTTAAAGTGTGCAATTAAAAGGTATTTAATATTTCTGCAGTACAACCACCACCACAGTCTAATTTTAGAACATTTCTATCACCTCAGAAGGAAACCTGTGCCCCTTAGCAATTACAACTCATTCCCCTCTCTTCTTCCCAACCTAGGCAGCCACTAATCTACTTTCTGTCTCTACAGATGTGTCTATTTTGGGCTTTCCATATAAGTGGAATAATAGAACATTTGGCCTTTGTGTCTGGCTTCTTTAGCATCATGTTTTTGAGATTCATCTATGTTGTAGCATTTATCAATACTTTATTGCTTTTATATTGCTGAATAATATTCCATTATATGGATATACCACATTTTATTTGTCCATTCATACCAGTTGTTGGATATTTGGGTTGTTTCCACTTTGTGGTCATTATTTCATTATTATGATCAATGCTGCTGTGAACATTTGTGAACAAGTCTTTGTGTGAGCATAAGTTTTAATTTCTCTTCTTTTTTTTGGTGGGAACTCTGTACCACTGTTGCGATTTTTCTGTAAATTGAAAATGACTTCAAAATGAAAATTTTTCTCAAAAGTAACTTTATAATAAATTGAGTATGCTGTGTTGAATAAGAGTTTTCATACAAACTCTTTTGATTTCTGTTAAACATATTAAGAGAGAAAAAACTAATCTGCTGTTAGTAATTTTGTTTAAAATGCACTACAGACTGCATTCCTAAGCATTTTCCTAACCTATTTCTCACCATCTGAAAGTGAATGATTCTCTATTTACTCCAGCATTTTTCCTTGTAGTTCCATTTTACTTAGCAGGACTACTCTTATATTTCTTTTTTACAAAATGAATTTTCTCTTTTCCTGATTTTAGTCAGGAATTATAACTATTCCATGTATTGTATACCCTCAATTTTATGCTTAATGCTTTTTCAATTTCATAAATAGTTGCATCATTAAATATTTTGAATTTATATTGGCATTTCTTAAAGTAGACTTTGAAAAACAAACCTGAATATGTAATATCATACTCCTGATGAAGTCAAAGCTCTTTCCCTCCTCTCCCCTCCCCCTTCCTTCCCTCCTTCCTCTTTCTCTTCCCTCCTTCCTTCCTTCTTTCCTCTCTCTCTCATTCTTCTTTCTCTCTCTGTTTTTGTTCTTGCTTGGTGGTATTTTTAAAAATATATATTTTAATGATTATGCTATTACAGTTGTCCCATTTTTTTCCCCTTTATTCCCCTCTGCCCTGCACCCTCCCTTCCATCAGCATCTGCCCCCTTAGTTCACGTCCACAGGTCGTACATAAAAGTTCTTTGGCTTCTCCATTTCCTATCCTTTTCTTAACCTCCCCCCCGTCTATTTTGTACCTACTATTTATGCGTCTTTTTCCCTCTCCCTTTTCCCCCATTCTCCCCCCTCCTCCTCCCCTCTGATCTCCCTTTCTGTGATTCTGCTCCTGTTCTAGTTGTTTGCTTAGTTTGTGTTTTTTTAGGTTCAGTTGTTGATAGTTGAGTTTTGTTGTCATTTCACTGTTCGTAGTTTTTGATCTTCTTTTTCTTAGATAAGTCTCTTTAACATTTCATATAATAAGGGCTTGGTGATGATGAACTCCTTGAACTTGACCCTACCTGGGAAGCACTTTATCTGGCCTTCCATTCTAAATGAGAGCTTTGCTGGATAGAGTAATCTTGGATATAGGTCCTTGCCTTTCATGACTTTGAACACTTCTTGCCAGCCCCTTCTTGCCTGCAAGGTTTCTTTTGAGAAATCAGCTGATAGTCTTATGGGCGTCCTTTTGGGTAACTGTCCCCTTTTCTCTTGCTGCTTTTAAGATTCTCTCCTTATCTTTAATCTTGGGTAGCTTAATTACGATGTGCCTCGGTGTGTGCTTCCTTCGGTCCAACTTCTTTGGGACTGTCGGAGCTTCCTGGACTTCCTGGAAGTCTATTTCCTTGGCCAGATTGGGGAAGTTCTCCTTCATTACCTCTTCAAGTAAGTTTTTGGTTTCTTGCTCTTCCTCTTCTCCTTCTGACACCCCTATGATTCGGATGTTGGAACGTTTAAAGCTGTCCCGGAGGTTCCTAAGCCTCTCCTCATGTTTTTGAATTTTTGTTTCTTCGTTCCGTGCTGGTTGAATGTTTATCTCTTCCTTCTGCTCCAAATCATTGATTTGAGTCCAGGTTTCCTTCCCGTCACTGTTGGTTTCCTGTATACTTTTTTCTGTTTCACTTTGCATAGCCTTCACTTTTTCCTCCATTTTGTAACTATACTCCACCATTTCTGTGAGCATCCAGATTACCAGTGTTTTGAACTGTGCATCTGGTAGGTAGGCTATCTGTTCATCGCTTAGTTCTATTTTCGAAGCTTTGATCTGTTCTTTCATTTGGGCCACATTTCTTTGTCTCAGTGTGCCTGTTACATTGGGAGGGGTGGAGCCTTAGATATTTGCCAGGGCGGGGGCCCCCCAGGTCCCTGAGTTATGATGCTGTATGTGGGGGAGGGGCCCGAGAGGGAACAGTGCTGCTTGCCCAGCTCCTGGCCAGCTTTCTGTCACTTCCCCCACTACCCACAAGCAAATTGGGCTCTTCTGGAGCTGATTCCCAGGTGGGTGGGTTTGTGAACGTTCTAGGACCCTGTGGGTGTCTCCAACAAATTCTCTCGTGAGGCTGGGAGTTTCTCCTGCTGCTGCATCCCCCACAGGTTTTTACACCCAGAGGGTTTGATGCTTTCTTTTCCCGCACTGGAGCCCTGGGTTGCATGGTCTGTTTCGCTCCCCAGCTGTTCTGGGCTTATGCACACGCGAATGTGGGACTGCCTGGTCCACCAGCTGCCACCTCGCCGCATGTCCTCTCCGTCCCGACTGCCCATCTCCACCCTCCTTCTGGTCTGGGTGAATGTTTCTTCTTTAACTCCGTGGTTGTCGGACTTCCTTACAGTCAGATTTTCTGGCAGTTCTGGTTATTTTTTGTTTTTAAATTTGTTTTTCTCCTTTTGGTTGTGCAAGGATGCAAAGTGTATCTACCGACGTGTCCATCTTGGCTGAAAGTCTCTAATTTCTCTTAAAAAGGTATCCAAGAGTGGAATTCCTGGGTCATATGGAATTCATGTTTAACTTTTTGATAAACTGCCACACTGTTTTGTAAAGTGGCCACACCATTTTACATTCCTACCAGCAATATGAAGGTTCCTGTTTTTCACATTCTCAACACATTATTTTAAAATATGTATTTACTTTTAGAGAGAGGAGAAGAGAGGAAGAAAGGGAGAGAAACATCAGTGTGCAAGAGATACACGATCAGTTGCCTCTTGAATACCCCCCACTGTGGACCTGGCCTGCAACCCAGGCATATGCTGCTGTCAAGACTGGGAATCGAACCAGTGACCTTTCCGTTTGCAGGCCAGCAAACCCACACCATGCAGTCACCCACACCAGCCAGGGCCTCAACACATTCTTGTTTGTCTTTTTTATTACAGCCTTCCTAGTGGGTGTGGAGTGGTTTCATTGTGGTTTTGATTTACATTCC